AAAGTTTGAATTTAATAATATAACCAAATATTCTGTTAATGTAGTTGGGATCGTGTTTTTAACATGGTATACAAATGAATAGTGATAAAAATATTGCACCTGATGTTTTTAATCTATTTAGCTATTGATAGCTGTATACTGTATAATGTACAGTGTATTTCAATTGTCAATATTTCATTAACAGGCAAATCATTAAGTGAGAGATTGATTAATCTATTTTTAATATAAACCAATTAATAACACTTTTTAAAGCAATTATAGACAAAATATTTATATCAAAGTCATTTAAAATTAAAGATAATTTTAATCAAAATAGGCAAAAACTTTATGCAATTTCAGACCCATTAGGTCTTAATTGATTAGCATAACTTATATTACATAAGTGTAAAACTTTTATATGAAGTGTGTCTTAAGAAAATGTTAACTGTTTCGCACTATTTAATTGAAAAATATTTACATGAACCACACAATTGTCAAATAAATCAATTCATTAGAAACTTAATTTATTAAATGCGTTATATAAATTCGCCGAGTACAAAATGTGTTCTTGTAAAATGCTTAATAACTTAGTACTAAAAGTTTGTAAATTTATTTAAAGTTTTCACGCGACCGGGAATCCCATTAATGTTCACGATTTATTACACATCGATAGCTCACGTGATTGTAAAATTAAGTATATGTCAAAGTACTGACAGCACTGGTAGTCATAATTGTAAAAATATATACAGTACATGGGATCATTAGGAACTGAATTTGAAATAAAGCAGAAAACCTTCAAAACTCGTAGATTTCAGCAAAACTTGTTAACATTGATCATTGATATCACATACACTTGATTTTTCACATGTAATCATCAGATTTTTATTATAGCTAATTGAAATTAAATACATAAACAAGTACTCAATCAGTTTTATATTATTCAATCAATTTTAACATATTTAGTAAACATTTTAATCATCAACTAAATTGCCAGAAAAATATCTACGTTTATGCAAAAGTTCATTATGTAACACTATGTTACAAATGTTACCAGTGTAATATAAAGACATTTTAAGTGAATTTCTTTGTGTATACTTTCAACTCAATTATAAAGGAATGAGTGATAGAATTGATGTAAAACTGTGTGCTGTCTGTGGGGATGAGGCTATAGGTATGTAAATGTGTTTTATCAAGGTAGTATTAATTTTCATTGATATTAATTGAATGATAATTAACTAATTAATAGGCAAACACTTCGGAGCCCTGGCCTGTAAATCGTGTAAACCTTTCTTTCGACGAAATGCACTTAAAAATAAAGTAAATTTTAAATTAAATTTAGCATTTTTTAAATTGATTTTTAAATGTTTTTTAAACCACAAGGTATTCAAATGTAAAACTAATGACAATTGTGTCATAAATCGCACGACGAGAAAGTCGTGCCGAAAGTGTCGTCTAAATAAGTGTCTGTCCGTTGGTATGAAGAAAGTAATGAATAATATTTTTGTGATTTAATTCAGGAATAAGTAAATTATTTGTGATTTTCATTTGAATGATAGGAAAGCATACGAAACGAAGAGCAGAAATACAGCCGAAGACTTCTTGTGGAAGAGAATCGTAAGAAAAGACAAAACAATTCCATCAATACTGATAGCAACGACTCGAAGACATCGTCAGAGATATACAAAAGTTATGATAATTCCGACGAAGAGATTGATTCGCAAGACACTAGAAATTGTGTCAAATTATCATTCATTGACAAAGTGTTTAACGACTTTAGACGCGATTCCAATGCTAGCCATTCATCTGAACAAATAGTTTGCAAATCAAATAAAAATAAAGACTTTTTGAATGAGTTGTTTGAAGATAATAGTGTCAGTGAAGAGTTAGTTGAGTCCGAGATTCAAGAGATTGTGAGTTATATTGAAGATAATAATGAGATAACCGGCCAAATGAACACAAATGTAGAGTACAAGGAGAGGGCATTAGATGTTTGTCACAGAATCGAGAGACCATTCATTGATAGTTTCCAAGAGGTGCAACATATGAAACTCCTAGAGCTGTCAAGTGTGACCAAGATGTTTACCACTCCGTTATCGTTGGGACCGGTGTTTAAAATAACAAATATTGATGTATTCAATGGAGTATATAATGAATTCTGCGATAAAGAGATACGAAACGTGATAACACTGTCAAAGAATTTGAGTACATTTCAGAATATATGCGAAAACGATAAAATAGCCCTGGTCAAGTACGGGTGCATTGATATTATATGCCTCCGGTCCCTCAGCTTTTATAATAAGAGTAATGAATATTGGAATATATTTTTGGTAATTAATTCACATGTTACATTTTCAATTGAAATTAACAGTATATTTTGTATTTTTGTTGTTTACCCAGAACAATCATAGTACATACCAATTAAATGCTGATATATTGAAGATTATACGACTTGATATTTATAACATTTATAAAAGTTATTTCATGTCTATGTGCTATGAATGGGATTCCGACCCTATCATATTAGACCTGGTAAGCGGTTATTTGCAAATAATTAGTAATATTGATTAAATCATTTATATGCCTACAGTTAATGGCTATAGTGCTCTATAATCCCGACCGACAATACCTACAACAGAAAGATGTCATTAAGTGAGTGATAAATATAGTAAACAAATTAAATATCACCATAATTGCCAAGTTTATAAAACTAAATTCTCGTTTGCAATCACATCACAGATTTCAACAGAATCTCTATTTATATTTACTTCAACGCTATCTTTCACTCAAATATGTGACCGAATGGGAGGCGCAGACAAAGTTTGGGCGACTTTTGTTGGCTTTGGGAGATATCTACCAATTGGGCAAATGTCAGCTCAATATTGTCTATCAGGAAGACCCGAAAATTTTTGGACCTCTTGTTAGAGAAATATTTAATATGAAAATCGCTAATTAAATGCTATTTATAGTGAACATATTTCTAGATATGTTTTTTACTCATGACATTCACATTGAATGTAAGGTCTTAATAGAGAAATTATATTTTATAATATAAAGTTTATATTAACTTATTATACGTTAATTACACATTAATCCTAATAATTGGTTTGTTTACGAAAAATCCTTAAAACTTATTTTACAATTTAATTATAAATTGCAATAAAATTCAGATAAGGAAACAAACTATTTATGCAGTAGTACTGCAGCAGTACATTAAAATACTCAACTAAACTTTGTAATAATAAATCATAAATTTGTCTATTCATATATTTTTAATCATATTTATCAACAATAAAAGCATTATACTTATCATAATATTAGTATTTATCTTAATATGTGAAATATCTTAAGATCGCATAGTGAAAATAAAATCTGTGTTCAATTAAAAATAATATTGCAGTACATTATATAAAAGTGTTAAAATAAATTAATATTGCTCTTCAAAAAATATATAATCTTTTTATCTCCAAAAAGATAAGCAAATAGATAAGGGACTCATGAAAAATGCTCAGTCATTGTGGCAAACATTTGTGTCAATCATTAGATGGCGGCGAAGAAACCGCAATCAGTACTCAATTAGAGCAAAGGTATGTTAATTGACTGATTAAACGTACCCTTCCCCTTTTTTAAAAATACCACTTTAACTACACTTGAAATCATATTTGAAAATTCTGCCACCAGTTCAACAAAAAAGTTTTTTAAATACATGATTTCAAACTTTATGAGTTCCAATGAATACACTAAAAGTTGTTTCAATAAATGCCATTAAAAACTACTTATAGACTCGTCATTTAGGAAACAATTATGAAAATAAACTTTTTTCCTATGATTTTATCTAATTGTCTCAAAACCATTGATAAAGACTACCAGAAGAGCTGTATATTCTGTATAACGTGACTGAAGGACATCATTATATATCGCAGGGAACCTTGAGATAAATATAATACTACAGACTGAGCCACCATTCCCCTTATAACATACCAGTCTCGTAGGCACAGAATTTAATGTTACATGGTAGGCCTACTAGGGAACTGCATTTCACTGTAATTCCTATGAAACTGGTTTGCAGATTCTGCTCAGTGTCGCTAACGTACCCATAATTTTCATTTTCAATGGTGTGATTGCATTGCAATTTCATCATAAGAGTGAAAAATAATATTATATTTTGTAGTTTCGGTCATAAAATTATTTTTTGTCATTTCATTCACCAGCCAGTGATCGATATATAGTTTGTGTTCACTGTGTTTAACACTTTTTAATAATTCATTCATGCTGTTAATGAGTTATATAATTGTTATATAAAATTGTTGCAATTTCTATCATAGATACAGTATTTCTATTGTAAAGCCTTAGTGTATGCAATAGTGTTGTGTATATTTTATGGACATATAATGTGTATTGTATTATAAAAGCCTTGAAATTGTGGAGATTTTCGTAGAAATTATTGAATTGTGTGTATTTTCGGTAAATAATTATATACAGTATATACTTTTTTATTGACATTAAATACAGCGATATATTAAACCGTGAATGTATTTCTCACAAACCAAACCTATGTTGTATGACAAACACAATTGTGTGACACGAATGCCATATACTCTCATAATAACAGAATATTTCATAAGTTGTTGTATTCATAAACATTAGTTTATAAAAATTATTTAATAAATAGTGAATCAAGAATTGATCGACTGTTTGACATTTAACCGGTTATTGTGAGCCCTCGGGAGTGCATTGAGTGATATTTGACGTAAAGATTATAATCGCAAAACTTGTTAACAAACTATAAAATGACGGATAAAGAGACGGGTAAAATATGCGGCGTTTGTGGCGACAAAGCTATCGGTATTTAAAAAATTTCTACACATTTTTTGTAGCTATACCTCGAAATTCAGGTTAAAATAACTTATAAAATATTAAATGACAAATAAATTAGTATATGTTTATCGGATCCCTGATAAACTCATTGACAATATTATATAACAAATAAATGAAAGTTATTTCCTTATACTGGTATTAAACAAACAAATGTTAGTAATAGTGATAAAAATGTTGTTTAAAAATAGGTGCATAAAAATATGCATAATATGCTTTTCATATAATAATAATTCATTTCATAATTATATTTATTAATATTTAGCGAAAAACTTTGGCGCCGTTTCCTGCGAGTCGTGTAAAGCCTTCTTCAGACGAAACGCACACAAACTGACCGTAAATTAAATTGTTTTATCATTACATCCATTAAATTGAGAGTAAAACTACAGAAATGTTTATACATTTTGTGAATATATATCCCGAAATAGGTCTACAAATGCTATTTCGACGAGAAATGCAAATTAGATTCAGTCACCAGAAAGTTCTGCCGCCGCTGTCGACTCCGCAAGTGCTTCGAGATCGGGATGAAACAGGTATTACCACTCATTATCACCATATATTGGACACGAATTACATGATATCTCCATTAACTCCAGGAGTGGATTCTTAACGACGAGGAAAAACAGGTGCGACGGAAGAAGATTGAGGAGAAACGGAGCAAAAAACGCAAGAATTCGGTCCAAAGCTCGTCGTCGGAGACAAAGTCGACGTCGGAC